TGGACACAGGCACGTGTCCTCAGCATGTGTGGTCAGAAGGGCATGGGCTGGGAAGATCAAGGGCAGAATGGCGGTTGGGGAGCAGAGAAGGGGCTGGTGCTTCCTCAGGGGTAGTGGCAATGCACCCCGATGCGATCCGGAGGACAAGCCAGGTCAAGGGGAAAGGTGGGGACCCTCCGAGAGGGAGGGGGCAGGCCCCACTGAGGCTGAAGACCGGGCTGGCTGGCAGGGAGGTGAGGGAGGCAGCAGAGCTTGGTGCAGGAGCTGGAAGTCCCTGCACCTGGCAGAGGCCTGGTGGGGGCGGCAGGAGTGGCCACCCAGGCAGAGTCTTCAGGAGGCTTCTCATCAGGAAACCGTGGGCAGGGATCCTGCTCTAGGGCTCTGTATAAGAAAGAGCTAGAAAGCTCTGTCAACTGTAGGCTCCTGAGGGAAGAGAGGAGGGATAAGCGATGTTTGGAAGAAAACAGGAAAACAAACGCCTCCTGCAGACAGGACACAGCAGGGAGGGGAGAGGAAGGTTTCCAGCTTCAGAGGGAGTTGGGATGCGGAGGAAGATGCTAATTTGGACCACGTGGAGTTTGGCCAGATTTGCACCAGCTTGCAAGGGTGCAGGCTGACTCTCCAGCGGGTGGGTGGAGGCCAGGTCAGGTGACAGTGCACAAGGGCACATGGTCACGATGCCCCGCTGAGGCTGCAGGGTCCCCCAGGAAGGTAGAAGGCCTTCACAAGAGACCAACTGGCCTGAGGGTCCCAGCAACACCTCGCTATGCTCCATACCCTTATTGTCCTGGTTGCCATCCGAGCTTCAAGTGCTAATACCTCCTGTTATTGGCAGTTCTTGAGCACAAACACTTAATGCAGGAGGTTTCTCTGCCCACAGTAGGCCCAGAAGAGCCCCCGAGCCTGGCCGTGTTTCACCCAAGTCCTCAGTCCACAGAGGATGAGAGCGAGACAGGGGAAAGGGAGCTGACATCCCAAGGAAGCACAAGTATTCCTTCCATGGAGCAGTCAGAGGCACAGGAAGCGGAAATAGAGAAAGACTGGGAGAAATTACTCCACGTTAGGTGGAGGCTTTAGGCAAGGCTCCCTGGAAGAAGTTGTGCATGGGCAGGGCTTTAAAGGATGTATAGGAGCTGGCCTGGCAAGAGACAGAGAAGGAAAGGTAAATGTATTCTTAGAAAAGAACAGCATTTTCCAAAATGACGAGACCTTTGGCGGTGCCTGGAGTTGTCATGAGGGTCAAACAGCTCTGGGAAACTGAGGTAGTGGAAGAGAGGCTGGGAGGCAGCACTGACAGAATTTTAACAGAGGGCCAGGAGAGCTGCAAAAAAGAAAACTATGAAGCAGACTTCCACAAGGGTCCTGAGGCACGCTCTGCAGAGTGACAGGCAGGTTCAGAGATGTGCGGAGTACTACCACGGACAGACTAGATGTAGACAAGCGCGATGCCCTGTGCCAATAAAACTTCATTCGCAAAGCAGGAGATGGCTGGGGGAGGGGCTGCAGCTAGCCAGGCCTGCCTCAGAGATTTTCTAAGCTCTCAAGACACTCCTCCTACCTGGGGTAGACAGAATAACAGACTTTCCAGGATATGATCCCCTCCTGTTTGCAGCCCATAAACACGGTGTGTTGTAGGGCAAAGATGGGAAATGAGAGCAGACAAAGAGAATGTTTTAATGAGCTGACCTTAAAAACATGTGGGTGATTATCGTGTATTATTTCAGTGGGTTCAGGGTGATCAACAGGTCCCTAAATTTGCAAGAGGGATGATGAGAGATGAGCTGATTTGTGGCCTGTGGAGGTGGATGGGGCCAGCAGCCAAGGAACATAGGCAGCTACCAGAAGCTGGAAAAGGAAAAATAACGATTTCCCCTTAGTGTCTGCAGGAAGGATTGCCACCTTGCCAAACCTTGATCAGTGTTGTTTTAAGCCACCAGTGTGTTACTGTGTGCATACACCACGGCACCCACGGGAGCTCACTTGTAAGCTTCCTGGGGAGATGCAAGCCCCAACTTTAAGAATGCAGGCTGGCCATGCTGGGCAGGTAAATGCCTCACTCAGATGCAGAGAAGAGGGGCCACTGAAGCCAACTGCTCTGTATCAGTGTCTCCAGGGGACCCCAGACCCTGGAGACGCAAACCCCAGGAAAGAGAAACTTGGGGCTCAAAGGGGAGGATGAAAGCCCGCAGGCCCTGCACTCCACGTGGGGAAGTGGGCCATCAGGAGCCAGCTCTGACTCTTTATTTCCCTGGCACCGGGCCACCCTCTGCCCCCAGATGTGCCTCTGTGCCATTTACGTCACGGGCAATAGAGTTGGCTGCTTTGAAATGTGTGTTATGAGGGAAATGAGAAAATAATACTGGTGACATTTGACCAGGGAGACAGCAGATAAGCCTGGGCAGGCTTGGTGCCCACACACACACACACACACACACACACACACACACGCTTTGTCCTGCTGCTCCTGGGCCCTCAGGGAGGGGTACATCAGGAGCAAAGGCCCCGTCCAGCAGGTCTCTCAGGTCACCTGTCATGGCTGCAGGCAGACCATGTCCTAGGCAGAGACCTCCTCGGGGTTCCTGACTCCACACCTTCCACTCCGGACGATGGCTGTGGTCATGCCAGCGGCCAACCAGTCCTTAGGCACAGGGAAGAAGCAGTGCTTCCTACCTGCTCAGCACAAGGGCACGGTAGCCGATTCAGGGAGTGTGTTCTGTGTGCACAGTGCTCACACACATTCTCCTAAATCACTTGTAACAAGGTGCGCACTAATGAACCCTCTGTGCGGATCAAAGAGAACCCATTTCACAGACACTGAGAGGCTGCACCTCCACCGGGAGTGGCTGGAGGAACTGGGGCCTCATCTGGGGTTTCTGGCAAACGCCCATCAACCTCTACTTTCCTTCCTTCTTTTCTCTCCCACTCTTTTGGAACTCTGAATGCCTCCAATGCACCACACAGCACCATCCAAAGGTATATGGACTGCACATTTAGATAAGGTTCTAGAGCTGAAGGAGATAAAATAGCCACACAGAACTCGTGATCCCTCTAATGTAAGATGTTTGCTGAGTACTTGGTGAGTGCCAAGCATGGTACCCTGTACCTCACGTACTGCTGATGTTTACCACCTCCTGAGGTACATGTCATCTCCTCCATTTTACAAAGAAGAAAACATTCAGAGTCTCAAAGTGTGTAGAATTCGTCAGCCAGTGCCCTTATCCTCATTGGACTCCGAGATCCTCCTCTGGGCCATTGCACTGTGATGTCTCAACCTTGCACTAATAGGCAGCTCTCCCCACAAGCAGGAGAGCAAGATGGTGAGATGGACCCCTGGCGTGGGTGCTGATGGACAGATGTCAGCACTTACACAAGACAGCAAGACCGGCACTGAAGAGTGACCTCTGATGTTGGTCTCTGATGTAAATATTGAATGAGAAGAGCATACCCTAGAAATTCATCTATTTAAACACATATTTCCCAATAATGATTGCACTGTTCATGTGATGCCATGAAGAGAAAGACCCATGCCCAGCTCTTCGGGAGGTGATGGTTGTTGCACACTGGAGCTGAGGCCGCCTCCCAGGGAGGACCTGTGGGGTAGGACAGTCATGGAGCTCCACCCAGGAGCTGGAAGGTGCAGGTTCCTTCCAAAGCTTGACAGCTGCTCAGCCTGCCCAGCCCCTCGCTGCAAAATATGTGTTGAGCCAGAGGCTGTCCCAGGTCTCGGGTCCCCCACTCAGGTGTTCCTTTATCTTCAGACTCCTCAGGGCTCCCTGGGAAGCTGAGGGTGCACAGGAGGAGGCCAGTTCATCTCAGCAGAATTCCTTTCAGTCCCTGATCCTGCAGGTAAACAGCCACCATGTACCAAGGGCCCCAGGGTCCTTAGCTTGCTTCTGTCATCCCTCAGCAAAAATCACCTAAATAATAAAATCTCTAACCACTGGAGGCGGCCTGGAGGCTAGTGCCTTTCAGTATCTGGCTAGTCAGTGGTGCTCGGTGGCTGTTCATTGTCATTAACATGGTTATGGTGACCCAGGAAAGGTCTGTGTGTGATGTGTGGTGCCAGCGTCCCTTTCTTACACCTGCCTATTCTTCCTGGCAAATAGAAGGAGTGTCATTATCTCTATGGCTGCAGGACGTTGAAAAACCTGCCTGGAGTCATACAGCCCCAAAGTGGCAGAGCCTGTGTCCTCTCCCAAGGCTGCTGAGCTCGAGAGACCTGGTTCTCCTTCGGTTTGCTATAACCTCTGCTGCAACCAGAACCTTTGGATCTGGGTGTTTCCCACTCACGGTGACCTGCAGTGACCAACTGAAGAGGACCCATGGCTACCAGCATCACCGCCCTCTTACCTTACAGCCCGCCAAGCACTCTCCCACAAGCCCTCGGATCCTCCGGTGGCCCGGAGCGCGGAGAGAGCATGTCTTTATTTTATAGAAGAGGACCTGGAGCCCTCGGGGAGACCAAGTAACATGAGGCTTTTAGGATCCACTCAATACACTGCCCACATACTCAGCTAAGTCTCTGAGCACTCGGGACATCATTTTCCAGAGCATTACGTCATGTGTTTTAGGGTGTAGCCGGTTATTTATACTGGTGTTGCGGAATGGTCAACAGAGGGCCTTCCCAGACAGATATGACTGAGCAGCAGCTGGCCTTGCCTTAAACCTACTTCCAGGACTATGTGCACATTGTTTCCAAACAACTAAGAATAGTCTGGCCAACCCTAAAGTTCAGACCCTCCCAGGGACAGTTTTCTTCCTTTGAAATGTCAGGACACGCACTGAAACCATTTTTGAGTTGACAATGCCGTTCTGATTTGCAGACAGCGCTGCTGAGAACCTCATGCCGGGGTTTCTTATGGTGCCTTCCCACACACCCCTTCCACCGAATGGAGTCGCAGCAGGGCTGTGTGTGAATGTGTGTCAGACAGATGTGTCTCTGACACACACAGACCCTGCTACACAGACTTGTCCATCACAGACACACACAGAGCTGTGTTGCCCGAGTTTCGTTTTTTATTGAGAAAGCACATGTGACACGTAATGAGATTACCATAGTGATTCATTCCATTGCAACCACAGGGTTGAGGTCCCTGGACGTCAGTGTGGAACAGAAGACACCAGATACCAGAAACTATGTGGGAAAAGCAGGGTTAAATCTCAAGTTCTGAAGAAGCAGAGACTCATCTACAACATTAGAAGTTAAGGGAGTGCCCACCTGTTGGTTTGCCTGAGAAGAGGGCCGGAGGGGCTGTCTGTGGGGCTGGCAGTGAGCTTCGTGCCCGCCTGAGTGGGTCATGAGGATTTCCCTTGTGGCAGTGCACTCACGTGTGCCCTTGTGCTTGAGCGCTCTTCGGTCTGCACGTGTGTGGCAGTGTGAAGATGGCTTTCGTGTGCCCTGTGGGCTTGTGTGTTGGGAGCGGGGTTCTCAATGTGCTGGTAGTGGGAAGTGGGGTGAAACAGTTAAGAAGCGAGGCACAGTGGGAATGACAGCCCTGGGGAAGAATTAATTTCATTCTCGTAGGACCCTGGATTGATCATAACAGAGCAAGCCGGGACGCTCCCAAATATCCCTGGTTTATAGTCTTGTCCTGTACTCAGGACCCAGAGGCAGCCAGGACAGCAAACTAAGACACTTATGGAAGAGGGTTTCCAGAGCCACCTCGAGAGTGCAGGAGCATCCTATGGGCATGCTCCAAGGGATGCAGGAGATTTTGAGGGTTAATGGCAATGTACCAAAGTTTTCACTCTGTGCATTCTGCCCAGATTTCTCATCTAACCTTACCTACCGATCTGTTTCCCTTTGCATGTTCCTCTGGGGCCTGGGTTAGAGCAGGCCTGGTTTAAAGAGGAAGTTCTACTATTTGTAGTTGTGCATCATCTTTCTTTGTTTTGTTTTTTGAGACAGGGTCTCGCTATGTAGTTCGCTAAACTCACTAGATAGCCCAGGCTGGCCTTCAACCCGATGTGATCCTCCTGCTTCAGCCTCCCCAGTGCTGGGATTCCAGGTATACACCACTGTGCCTGGCTAGAGTTGTGTGTTTCTGACTAAACTGCTTATCCGATCTGAGTTTGAGGACGTATACCTGTAAAGCTGGGCCTGTGATGCTGACCTTGTGATGCTATGATTCTTCAGTTTGAAGATTCAATGAAAAACACATGCAAAGGCCAGCGGCAGGGCTGGTGCAGAGGCCCTCTGGTCCCCAACTTACCCTGAGCATGTCTGCACTCTCCTAACTCCTAACCACTCCCCCCCTCCCCCATGCGCCAAGCCTGGTTGGTTCTTTACCCAGCATGCACTGCAGCGTGTTTTTAAGAGCCATTAAAAGAATAAACAAGAAAAAAGCCAAGAAAACAAAATTTGCCACCTGGTGGGAATTTGGAGGAGACTCCCATTGTCCATCTTCTCTCTTCTTCCCCAGTTTTACCACAAATAAACTACTTGAACCCCTGCAGGGTTTAACACTGCCCCACTGCTTTTCCAGGTTGTCAGGCCAGAAGGGTTCCACTGCACCCAAATTCCCCTCTCCCCTTCTAATCTCCAGCCTGCAGCCCAGGGAGGACCCAACCTCTTACCTCACAGATAAGATAAAGGGTAATTTAAATTCCACCCCGCCCCCAGGCCTTCAGAGCTTTTACTTCCACTTTTATCCATGTTTTCTCCAGCTCCCCTGGGTTTTCTGCAGGACCCCACAGCTTCATTACACCCTCATTCCTTTGTCCTCTACCCTGCCACCACCCCTGACCTCTGCCACCACCGCCCCGTGCACACTTCTTTTGGTTCCTCCCACCCACAGTTACCTGAAGCTTTCTGGGGGACCCAGCAGCTGCAGCTCCCCATCTCTCTCTGCTCACTGACAGCTTCCAGCCAAACTGGTTTACAGCCTGCTTCCACTTCCTGACCATAGAGTCTTGCTTCTGGCTCAGCGACCTTCATTCAACCACCTCTCTGCCAGCCTCACATCCCATGCGGGTGAAGGACATCTCTTGGGAGTCTGCCCTGCTTCCGCGGCTTCCATTCAGATGCCTCCTGCACCTTGCTTGGCTCCAGGTGGTGCCCAGTGCCTCTTACATGTTCATCACGCCACCTGCGTCCTGCCACACATCACTCCTACCTCTGTGAACACATCCTGAAACGGACCAGCTTACAAAGAAGCACATTCAGGGAAAACAGGACATAAGAGTCCCGAAGTTGGCAATCCCACCAGTTTAATACCTGACCGCAGGAAATCACTCCCTTCTGCTGAATTTTCTTTTTTATGAAACAAGATTGAAGATTATCAGGATGACTCCCACAGCTGTGAAATTCTATAAAAGAATGTCTCAAAGGACAAAAATCATCATCTCCCCACCTGAAATCAGCCCCTTTGCCCGACTTTCCTATATCTATTGATAGCACTGACATCAAGTTATCTAAAGTTAATCTGCTCTATCATCAATCTCTACATCCTATCATTTGGCAGCTTGGGGATCTGGCCTCAGAAATGTCTATTTCATTCATTCCCATCTTTCCTCCTGACTTGTGATAAATCAGGGTTAAGCCCTTGTTCAACTAACCAGGACTCGCACCGTCCTCCTGGTCCTGCTCTCTGTGGTCTATATTAGTGTCAGCCTGGTTTTCTTCCTGTGTGGCCTTCTCACTGGCTCCCAAACCTGTCCAAGCCACCCATAGCCCTTGATTTGTCATTCAGGGCTCTTTGTTACTCTGGTTGAACATCTTTGCTCAATCACAGAGTGGGCCCCTCCCAAAGCCTCGTTCTTTTCACTGCCTTTTGGAGTTGGTAATGTAGCTGAAATCTGCACAACTGGCAGTACCCATGAAGGCATTCTTTATAATGCCATGTGGAATGCCTGCTGTCAGTCAAGGTCTACTCATGATGTTATCTTTCACATGAAGACTTCTTGGATTCTAAAAGACTGAAGCAATCCCTTTCTCCTCAGAAGTCCAGACCACTGTATCCATCCGTTCTGGCCCTTTAATATCATCTAAGCTGACTTAAAATGACTATTGTAAGTTAATTTCCCCCATTTTATTGGAGGGTTGTATCACCTTTATATCCAGAATAGTGTGCTTTTTGCAGGACGGCAGTAGGCGGGGGATAAAAGACATGAATGAAGGAACTAACATTGCATCTAGATATGATTTTTTAGAAAAGTGCTAGGCAATCCACTCTTAAAATGTGGTCAGGGAGACACTGTTTACTAAACTGTTTACTAAAGAAGCCGTTAGAAAACAGTGTGGTATTCCTGGAACACCAGCACGAAGCTGAGCTGCTTCTGCCTGAGAGTCAGACTTTGTTCCAGGCCCACTCCTAAGAAGCTGCAGCATATGTATCAGGTACAAGTCACGCTGGGCCACATTTTCCTAGAAGTAAAATGCAGAGGTTGTAAAACATAGCCAAAAACAACCAAACAACAAGCAACAGTTTCCCCAGTTAAGTTCAAATTTCAGATAAACAGTATATTGTTTAGTTCTTACATTACAATCAGTCTTTACTGCAGAATTGTCCTTACACTGAGATTCACTCTATGCTGTGTTTTCTCTGGAGTGTGAAACAGGAAGACGTTTGATCATGGCTGAGTTTTTCTACTCCAACCACCCAGGATCAGTAGTGTTTTCAATGGGGGAGGATCTTTTCCTGCTGTTAATGCTAATTGTGCAGATTTCAGCTACATTACCATGTGTTTCCCAACCTCCCTATCTGGAAAGTACCATCTCTTATCCTTCTAAACCCCTCTCCGGGCACTCCGTAACCCAAACAGAAGGGTGTTATGGTCAGGTTCACTGCTGGGCCCACAGCACCCAGGACGGTGCCTGCGCCAGGAAAAGCTTAAACACTCGATAGTACAGCTGATGTAAAAATGAATTCTGTGCCCAGCGAGGACCCAGGGAGGAGGCCCACAGGAAGAGAAGTTCGGTTTGGGTGAAGGAGGTCAGAGAAGGCTTCTTGGAGAAGATAGGATTTGGCAGTGATGTAAAAGAGTGGTTTGGGGTGAGGGTTGGAAGGGCTTGAACAGGCTGAACAACATTTCTGAAGCCTGTAAGACTGTCCTCTCTGCTCTCACCAGGCCTACGAGAGAGAATTCAGCAGGGGAGACGAGCAGTCTGTTAATGTGAAAGACTTCTCAGGTGAATCTGATATGAACCTCGCTACCCCTCTTGAAGAAATCTCTTGTAAAGTATGGGAAGGACCTGGCTCAGCAGAAGCCATGATTGAGGATATGATCTGCGCAGAACAACACAAAGATGCACACAAAGAAAAGAAAAACAGCATTGAATACAACGGAGTGTGAAGATACCACTCAGTGCAGAGCAGAGAAAGACCTCTGCCTATGGGAAATAGAGACCCCCAGAGAGATTTTTCAGAAGGAAATAAATAGTAAAAATAGGATTTGGAAGCTGAAATTTTAGGAGACTACGGCATACCCAACACAGTCTACTTCCTGATTTGCAAATAAAGTTTTATTGGAACACATGCTTAACCATTCGTGTACAGATCTCTTGTGTCTGCGTTGCTGAAAATACAGCACAATGCCTGTATCAGGCAGCCCTTGTGGAGCTGTGCACGTCTTAAAGAATCTGCCATTGCAAAATGTCCTCAATGGCAAGACTAGAATGATTCATATGATCATCACGATCATTAATCCCTAAATACTTGAAAGGCTGTTGCATGTTTAGGCATTAGGTTAAATGCCACAATCTGTATTTATAATACTTGTGAGTTCTTGGTCTCTATCATCATTTGCCAAACTTACAAGATACCGTATATGTTTGTGGTTCAGATAACACATTTCAGGTCTCTTACGGGGCCTTCTGAACTGAAACTAAGTAGGAAAAGTAGTTATAAATATCCACAGGAGCAAGTCCAGTCCCTTCCTGAAAGTGATATCTGAGAGCTAGAAATTTGGCATGACGTTTGATCCCCAGCAATAGCCCCAGACACATGAGTAGGACCAGTGTCACGTCTAAGTTTTCCAGCAACTCCAAAAATATCTGCTCTTTCCTTTCCCCATACAGTCACACAAATCCTAACCCCTGGCCTTGTTGCCCTTTTAGTCCCAACTCTTAAGCTTACTTTGGGAGTGAAATAAGATTTTAGGCAAATGCCTTAAGTTTGGTTTCCCGAGAACCTCCTTCCAAGAAGCAGCAAAGTCTTTGGTGGCGTCAAGCATGGATCAGAGGGGACAGTGCATCAGTCAGGCACAGGGAGTAATTCCTGGAGGTCTGTTGCATAGCATAGTGATTACATTTAATAATAATGTTTTACAGGAAAAATTGCTGAAAGTAGCTCTTAGATGTTCTCCGCACACCAAAATACTGTGTGAGGCAACGGACATGCCAATCAATGCTCCGATATCTGGATAGCAGAGCACCGTACTGTCCTCCAAAGGATGAACAACTTTTCTTTTCCTGTTGTACCTGAATAAAGCTGGAAGGAGGCTGAGAATAAAAGCTTAAATCTCTTCCTACCCTTGGGGAGCTGTGAAATCTCTTACAGTTGATCATGCAAAATTAATTCAAGAAATACTCATCCAGACTCTGCTGAGCTGGACCTCAGTTATAAAGGTGAGAAGTCAACCTCCTGGAAATGAATAGAGACTCACTATTCTTGGACCCTAAATGGGGCTGTACTCCTACATGGTCCATTAGATTACAGTGGCCAGCAGCAGTGATGGTGATCTTTGGGTGCCATGGAGACCATGTGATTGGCATCTCTAACAAAGCCTGTGTCTTCTTGGAGGAAGTAGTCTCCAAATGGGAAACCACCAGGGGAAGGGGACCCTCAAGAAGAGCATGTGTGAAAGCCCATGGAAAAGCTGAGTTCCTGAGTGTGATAATCCAATGTTGCCCGAGTAGAGCCGAAAAGCTTTATTATAGTTTCTGATTACCTTCCAATCTGTTGCATAAGGGAAGCAAGACCTTCTTTGGCTTTCATTCTGTTTTTAGCATTGTCTTCCCCCCTACCCCTGTATACCCAGGCTAGTCACTTCATCTTTCGAGCTTCACATTTTTCATTTGTCAAATGGTGCTAAGAATATCTGTGCACAGATTTGCAGGGATCCCATGAGACAATGGGCGGGAAAGTACTTTGCAACTTCTACAACGCAAGGGATTATTTTTCTAATTCCAGCCGCCACCCTCAGCCACTCCCTGTTTCCCTTCCCCACTGCCCATCCAGGTTTGCTCAGCTGATGCAAGCCAATTTTAACATCATCTGCTGACAGTAAATCAAACAGGAGCTCAAAAGTCAAAACACCAGTTCTCCCAGGCCATACCAGCCTACAGCCCAGATCGTGATAACAGTAAGAGGACCAGTAGAAGGATGTGTCACACTGGGCCATCTGTAATGCTTTGTGTTTTTCTTGTTCATTTCGCAAATGCGGAAACTGATATAAAGAAGGGTCTTACAAATGTCACCTAGCTAGAGACTGTTGCTCTAGGTGGCTTCTTTGCAGCTGAACTGTGTATTTCTTTTTCTTTTTTAGCTGTATATTTCTGTGATCTCTACAAATCCACTGGGTAGACTGGATCTGAAAATCCTGCTGTAGGCCTTCCTCAAACCCTGTAGAAACTAATATAAGCAGCTCGCTGCAACTTGGAAGCAGCCCAGCCTCGCTTGTTCTTGCTTGGTGACCCTGTGCCCTCATCTGTGTGCTCTAGGCTTAGTGTAATTGGACAGCCCAGAACCCTGTCTGTGTTGGGTGCGGGGCAGCTATCAGGCAGCTTCCAGAAAAGGTCAGTCAGATGAGCAGTAGGTGCCAAGGCTCTGAACAAGCTTCTCCCAGAGTTACAAAAACCCAGTGATTGAGTTAATTGTATCTGGATCATCACAAAATCACTACCTAAAAGTCCAGTAGCGATTCCTGCAAGAAACACATCTTTAAAATTCACAAGGGCGGGATATCCAAGTGGATCATCTGGGACAGGAGCTCAATCATGCCCGCAGGAGGAAAGGCCGCAGGATGGCCCCATGACCCAGTTTGAGGCAGTTTTGAATAAACTTTAACACTGTGATTTCATGGCTATTATTCTACTACTAAGTTGCATTCACATATTTGCAAAAGCTTTTCTAATTCCTCCTATTTAAAAAAATATATGGCCAGGCAATCTGTAGCTGAAAACAACAACCAGAAAAAAAAAAAATAGTGGTGTCCTAGTAGGGAGAAGACCGGGGTGGCATACTGGCTGCACAAATCACTGGCACTGAGGGTCTAGGGAAGTCACCGGGCCTCCCCCAGCCTCAGCTGCCCGCTCCGGGACAGAGATGG